TTAAATGAGCTATTCTTGTATATATATAATTGGAATCTCGGAATCGGCTCCAACGATTTTCATAAAATTTTGTATATAAGGGGTTTCGGGGGCGATAAATCGATCTAGCAAGGAATCATTTTTAGAAAATGTCATTTTATTCGTGTTTTGTCGATAATCAACTTAAACATAAACTTAACTTTTTCTATCGGTAAGTTCGAAAAATATTATTCATATTTCATCATTTTATTAGTAATTCGTACTTAAATATCATTTCCAAAAATCACAATTTAAAAAAAGTACCGAGCAAAGCTCATCGGTCATCCAGATTTTATTGTTTAAACGAGGTCGCGGACAAATGTTAGTCTTCAATAAGCGCGTTTGTTACTTCCAAAGTATTACAAAAGTTGCTTATGTTTTTTATTTTGCAAATTTTTCATTAATATCCTAAGGGTATTTGAAAGTTTTATTTTTATAATTAAATCTTACGTAAGTTCTGATGACAAATACTTGAAATCTTTTGATTGAAATTTAATGTTGTTTTTTTAATATGTTTTGTCAAAAGTATTTTAATGAAAAAACTTTCCTGTATAATTTATGTGAAGTTTGTAATCTTGGAATAATTTTGTTGAAGATTTTACGGTAGAATCCATAATAAAAAAACCTTAAATTTTTTTATAGAGTTTTTAACATCTGTCTATGGTTATGCTCATAACAATTGCAACTGTTTTTTAGTAAATAGTAATTACAATAATTCATTTAATACATGAAAAAATGTTTAATTAAAAAAAACAATAAAAAAGTTCAAATAATGTAATTTTCTCTTTACCAACAATAGATGGCGCTCTCACAATACAAACAAAATGGATTATGTATAACTAAACGAAATACTTTAGAACAATTATTTCAGGTAGAATATAAGACTCAGTCTCAGACTCTGACTTCATAGTAACCCCGATAAGTACAGTCAGGCCCATTGGTGGTATTTCACTTTTAGAAAAATTATCTTGTTCCTTACAACGAAACAAACTCCATTTAACAAATAACAAATAAGGTAAGGCAATCATATAGTACTGACCGACTTATTTATTGCGTCCTATTGTTAATTGTTTTCGCGTCATCACTGAATTTTGCTACTTATTCAAACGATTGTATAATTGAAATTTGATTACCAACAAATTCCCCGACAGTACCTATGTATGCTTCACCTATAGCATCTATTACTCTACTAGATATCAACACATCGTGCAATTATTGACTACATTATATCAGTTATTGCAGTTTGATTGAAAACGACATGATCCGATCTAAATTAATTGCATTTGAGTACACAGTTCCCTCCACCCAACAGTTTAGGTTGTAGTTACACTCAATAGTCTAATGGTTAAGGGTACGGATTTCCGATCACGAGGTCTGGGATTCGAATCCCGACATTTGACTATTGTAAACCGACTAATGTATCCTAGCACACGCCTAGAGCTTAGTTGGAATGGTAAAATAAATATTAGTAAGTTTATAAAAAAATCTGCTTATGTTTTAACAAAAAAACTTACGATGAGTTTCCATTACCGAAACACAAAAAAAAACACAGTTAGAATAAATATTTAACATGATTTCTTGCGATTAAAACATAAATCTAAATCCGGCAATAGTCCTTGGCAAATTGCTTTTAATTTTTTTTATAGCAACCATACCATAAAACTATGTAGGTAGTAAACCACATGGTGTAACTTAAACCGAACTTAGTTCTAACTTAGATATCTTAAAGTTGGCTCCCACACCTCGCTAACGGATGAGCAAACAGAAAAAAAAGGCTTCGCCGGAAGTTGCACTAGCTTCCGTTCACCAGAGTTCCGGTTGGCACGTCTACAGCTTTCGTGTGGCTTTTAAAAAACTTTGTACTTACTACTTATATTTGTTAAGTACAGTTTTTTATATTCTCTATTTCGTAGGTTAATTATGAAACATTTAATGTCTTTCTGTCGAAATAGAAAAAACAGAGGCATTTTTTTAAAAATAAATTATTTTTAATCTGTTTCTCAAAAGTTAAATAAATTATATTTTTAATCTATATTTCTATATCGATTTTCGACAACTTCACAACCTAACCAAAGATTAAACGACATACATAAAAAAATACTTAGATACGAGAAAAAAGCTAAGTCAGTCTATTAAATAAAGAGTAAAAATGTTTTTTTTAAGATCTATAATCTGTTTCAAATCAAGACTTAAACTTTATATATAAAGGTACCTACACAAAAGTTAATAAAATGTAAAATTTACAATAAAGCAAAGGTATGCGACTGTAAATAGTTTGGCAGTAAAGTAAATTCTATCCGAGGAAGCCATCTACGAGTTCGATTTTAATTTAAACTTGTGAGACGGAGCTCTCTGATAATGTGGGGGGAATGCGCTGCTACAGGGTGGACAGTTTTAATACTATTTAATGACATTGTGTTGGTAAAACAAACTTTTTTGCAATAGATTTGTTAGAAAACTACAAACTATGGTACTAAACGTGAGTCTCTACGACGTTAAATTTACAAACACATATTATAATCTTTACTTTTTTAAAAAAAAAAAGCGCATTTGACTTATGGTAATTAACAAAAATCCTGGTATTTTTTCAGTACTATTAGAAATCATCAGTTCTTAATCGACATAAAACCTTTATAATAAAATCTGTTTTTTTTTTTTTTAATTTAAATAACGACGTTTGCATCATAGTTACATCTTGCTCCGATGCGAAAACATTCACAAAAAGTTGCACATTTCTATTTCAGCGGAATAAATTTATGGTGACAACCCTATCGAGGAGAATATTAAGTTAATTTTCCACTTTTAGATTATAAAACACGCAGATTATCTCTTTGTAATAATCGCTGTCTTACAGAATTACCCGCATTGCAGTTAACAATTATAATTGCAGTTAATTGTGCGATGGGAGAAAGTTTGTAGGTGACAATTAGCGCCGCTGAGCGCCTGATCAAATAAATTAGCACGAAGACTGAGTTGCGACTTGAGTTGACAATTACCATAGCTAATGGCCGCCGAGACTTGCTGTGACGTCATTATGTCACGTTAAATATGACAATGGTATTTGGCGCGCAGTTTTTAAGAATCAATTAAATCCATTTAAACATTATTTAGTATAATTTAGGTTGTTAGGTCCTCAATTTTGTAGCAGAATTGAATAGATTCATAACCTAAAACAGTTAAAAGAAAACAAAATCTTTAATTAGTTTTGATATTGACGTATAGTCCAGAAAATTAATGTTTCCTTACGATCAAATGTCGTACAGCAAACTGTCAAAAGAGCTACCGTGAACTGAACTAGGTGGATAAGTGATTACTTAGAAATGACCTTCGACAGGACTTGAACCCGCCTGTTGATGTTCCTGGCCGGCACAAAATATCATGACTTATAGCCTGTCTACATAATAGAGGTCAATGTATTTTAACTATTCGACCTAATTTCATTGTGTGCGTCGAATGATCATCAAAATGGGTAGGTAATAAACGTTCTCGACTGTATATATCAGAGACAATAGTTCCGATGTTCGAAGGCTATCGATTTGATCATGTAGTACAAGCTTAATTAAGACATTGTAGTTAGTAATGAGATGCGTACGTTGTTATGCAACTTCATTAGGCATATTACGAGCTTCTATGTGTATAGCTGTATAGCTTCAAATGTGGCTTTCCACTGTCGCAAATTGTAAAATACAAAAAAAAATATTAAACCAAAAACCTTATAATGACATAAAATTATACATAAGTGAATTATTAAACTAAATGATAAGTAACCAATTATGTCTAAAAAATAATGCCGTATTTTGATAAAAAAAAAAAGAAAAAAACAATATTTTTGATACAAGTGTTTTGGCAGTATTGCACAGATAATAATTTAGACATACAATTTCTTCGTTTAAAAAAAAACAAGAAAACATCATTTTTATAACACTGATTTTATTGATTGAAAAATAAATTTATTCCTGCCCATCGCTATGATTTAAGGTTCGTTGATGTCACTTCAAAAGACCTTAAAGAAATTTTTATTACAGTAGCAATATTTTTAAAATAATTATTTTGGTTTACTATTAATAGTCTGTACATATTTGTCGCGCTAAAACCACAGATTATTAAATTAGTATACGATGAAATACATTGATAATTTGATTTTAAATAAACCGTAATATTTGTTATATTGTTCAACCGCGCGATAGCGTAGGATTATTATTTTGATTGGAAATGATGTTATGATTGAATTAATTTAATAATTATATACTTTTGCATTAATTTTAACATTCTGGTTTTTATGTGCGAAATGAATCGTACAAAATCGTTTTCTTTTTTCTAAGTAAAATGAAACGGACAGCAATTTGATTTATGCATCTGTTTATATAATATGATTTCTACAATAAGCATATTAAAAAATGTTATATGCTTAGTCTTAACTGATTTTATCTTTTCCTCCTTGTCATTTTGTCGCTTTTAATTGTTCCTTGCCACATGGTGTTCAGATATTTTTTTGTAGAAATAATACAACATGACACTATTTAAATTATTTATTTAACAAGAGAAAAAGAAATAAAGCAATCAAAAACTTAAACAGTCAAAAAATATAACCTCAATCCAAAATTAAATGCGTAACAAGGAATGCTTATATTTATAAAAAAAACACTGTAGATTAAAAAATCACTACATAGATAACTAAATATTATAATGATTTCACTGTAAGTACTGGGTTTTATTTAAATTATATTTTTTTTATTAGCAAATACAAAAAGCACATACTGCCACTATATAAACAAAAAGGTAAAATAACAAAAAAAAATATGCGATGTTTTTAATCCTGTAATTTTTTTTATAGTATTAAGTAATTAAAGACATAATATCAAGAAGTCAATACTTTTTTATAAAATTGATACAAAGTTAGGAAAAAATAAATGTTTATTTTTGGTGCGGACATTTTTAATGTCGAAGAGGATTTATTGAATATTTATTATGTTTGTAAAAACTCGTATTAAATACGATAAGAAAAAAGCTAAAACTACAAGATTATTGTGATATTTCTTAGAATAAAGAGATAAATAGAAATAAAATGCTTAACTACATAAAGTACAGACTTCTAAGTTGCAAATATTTTTTGTTCAAACATTTTATTGAAGATCTCCAAAAACTGTAACAAAATAATTATTTTTATTTATTAAAAAAATAATTGGGGAGAAAATCTGTCTATTGCTCACTAAATGTACCACAGATAAACAAAAAACACTTTATTTTAATACCTAGTACTCTGTGAATTGTAGTCAAAGCAATGAATTGTGGGAAATTTAACTCAAGAAATAAAAAAATATATATTTATTATTTTTTTTCTAGCCGTAGATGCATTCCGACTTCGTAGCTCTAGCACAGGAACAGATTATTTTAAAATTGCTAGAATGACTTATAAAAACTTTGACAGATGACAGATGACAGCTGACAGCTGACAGCCGACGCTAACGCCACCTACATAGAGCTTTCAATTTTTCTCTCCATTGAATTATTGTAGGCCCTTTTTTATTATCTATATTTCTATCCTATGTTTTGCTGTCTGCAATATATTACAAATGACTAAGGGCAAAAAATAATGCCAATTGTAAATTTATATAGTAAGTTTTAAAAAAATCACATAAATACCTTCACTGGGTCTTCTCATCTTTGATCTCGGTGACTCTGGGTTCTGACTTTGGGTTGTTCTTCCAGATGTAATAGGACAAGGAGCTGGCGTAGGTCAACCAGCCAAGGTATGGCAACATGAGGGCAGCTGCTGTCTTATTGTAATGCACAAACGATATGGTAGTCGCTGTGGCTGCCACACCTAGCACTACGATTTCTATGAATGCCTGAAAAAAAATAATTAAATTTGATATTTACAAGAAAAATAATGCGTCACTAGCCTAATGGTTAATCACGAGGTCAGGGTTTCGAATCCCGCCATTCGACTATTGTCGTAAACCATATCCTAGCACAAGCTTAGAGCTTAGTTGGAATTGATGAAAATTAGAAAATTTACAAAAAATCTGCTAATATTTTATAATAAAAAAAAGAAATATTTAGAAAATTTATTATCTATAAAAACTAGTTATTACATGGAACTTATATATTACATACATCTGTATGAGTTATCATCTGAACGCACTCTTTTCATACATCGTCACACAAATCCTACAAACTTATTACGATTAACTTTCAACCTTCCTCTTTAATATACACAACATAATTTTTTTAAATAACTTTATAGCTATTTATACTTTAAAATTATTTGCACAAATGATACTGGCATTTTAATTAACTAACTGTTCTCCGCGACACCGTCAGCGCGAAATTAAAAAAAAAATAATTGACATTCTTCTTCCAGACTAAATGTATGTATGCAAAATTTAATCGAGATCTGTTCAGCCATCTATCCATACATGCATACATTCGCATTTATAATATTAGCAAGATTAAATATATGGAATTTCTTACAAGTTTATAGTCCTTCATGCCAAAGAATATAGGCGTCCATGACCAGTTGAGAGCCAACTGACTTCCGTACAAGGTGAGAGGAAGTACTGAAGATTCTGCAATTTATATAAACATTTTTGTTTTTTAATTATTCTAAATATTTATTGTTAGGAAGAAAATCCAACACTGTCCCAGTGTACTGTCACAACACTAGCCATACTAAAATGTCAACGTTTATGTCCCCTCACTAATCATTCTGACTTGACTTGGTAATGAAAGCGCGCCATTCGCGACAAAGGATTCTAATTAATAATGTCTAAAAGTATAGACTCAAAATCGTTTAAATAGCGTAGAAAGACCTTATCAAAGAATCAATAGCAAAAGTCTTTGCTACAGAAATTATAAATTAAATTGATATTAAGCCAAGTATAGCATTACTCTAGGATCTATGTTTTTAATTTATCAAAGATATTTGCCAAATAAATTGTACCTTTACTTAAACCTCACTTTATTATAAGTAATGTTGTTACTAAAAAAATGCGTTGGTAGAAAAACTTAATCTGCTGTTAATCATGAAAAAATAAATTATCTTACAAACTTATATTTACTTATAGCTTATGCCCAAAACTCCGTCTGCGCGGAATTAAAAAATACTAAGTAGCCTATGGATCTCTTGTGTCGGAGGCCAAGACCCACATTAGGTCGATGCGCCAGCAGAGTAAGTAGCCTATGTGTTCATCAAGAACTTTATCTATGCCAAATTTCATAGAGATCCATTCAGCTGTTCTGGAGATACCTTCTAACAAACATACATCTAAACTATCTCATTTATAATAATAGTAACGAATCAATGATCATAACAAATTCTTACAACTTAAGCAGTATTACACAAACTCAATCGAAATTCATCATATCCATTATGTATTACATCAAGTGGCTAGACTACATTTTGTGTTATCAAAGATTGATGGATGGGGTACATAATCTTATCTATACATTCAGATGATGTGATATAAGATATATGTGTATTATTGCTTTAAGGTTTATATATTTATACCAACAGTTTGCGCGGAATTAAAAAAAACATAATAAGTTGCCTATGTGTTCTTTCAGACTATGTTCTGTATATACGCCAAAGTTCATCTAGATGCAATAAGCCATTCTGGATACCTTCAACCAAAACATACATCCATCCACCCAAACATTCGCATTTATAAGTATGTTTATAATAATTATTATTTGTTATACAATTTATGCTACAAACGGCATCTCTCCTAATTTCTAAACATAGTTGACAACATTTACAGTTCAACCTATAAATACAAGAGTCGCTGTCTCCAATGGATATTCTCCATAACTGAGAAACTCGGATTAGAGAGATAATCTATAAGGTATAAATATTGCAGACCCTTAGACTCTCACTTATCTCAGTAAGACTGTATTTATTAAAACAAAAATATAAAGATTTAAATGAATACTAGTCTTTACATCTTTCATGCCATTAAAATCCTTTCATGTGGTATTGAATGGACTTGTTATTAAGAAAAATTGCTTCAAATTAATTCTAAAATATTTTTAAGATTTGTAATAAATTAACTCACCAGTAAAACCACCGCAATCTTCCCACACCAAATACGAAGCATATCCCATACTACTGTATAGAACAGTCCAGGCTGGCCCAAATACCCACTTTGGTGGATTCCATGGTGCCTTCTTAAGGTTATCGTACCAAGACTTCCCTTCTTCAGAGCGTATTTGTCCAGCAAAGTACAGTCCGTTTACCCAACCACCAACATTGGGCAGGATTATTGAACCAATTGCAGGCCAGTTCGCCATATTAATTATTTCACTGAAAATAAATGTTATGCCATTAGCCTATGTTTTAATTAAAATGTAGATAACTAATGTTGCTGGCAACTCTGTCCACACAGAATTAAAAAAATCATTAGTAGTCTATGTGTTCTATGCTATGTTTTACATCTATGCCAAATTTCAGCAGGATCAATGCAGCCCATCTGGAGATACCATCTAACAAACATCCGTCTATCTAAACAATCACCTTTTTAATTTTAGATTTAGATGGATCAGCACCTTACTAAGTGCAGTACAAAATGGTAACTAGTAGTCAAAGAAACTTTACATTTAACTATTTTAGTAGAATAAACTGAAATTAGTTAATTAAATCTTTATAAAATAATGCTAAAATGTTGTACTTTGATTTTAGATATGATTTCAAATTATGATTAATCTGTATTTTCTTAATTCAACATTTATATCTTTACCTAGCACTTTCAATGACTGTTTCTAGAGATTCCATTTTATATAACAATTTCGATTCAATGGCACTAAATCAAAACACTAATTTACGACAACTATGTAACCAAATTACACTAAATATACGTGAATAATTATTAACTTGTAACTTTAGACTAAAATTTATCAAAATACATTGAAGTTATCGGTAAAAACGTTTGATTAGTAACAGCAATAGTATTTAAGTACGATAAAATAGATTTGATAAAAAAATTTTGCTGAGTAATACCTAATTGCTTAAAAACAAGACTTACCCGATTACTACGGAAATCGATATAAAGTTTACACTGATGATGTAGGTGCGAGTTTATAAAGAATTCCAATAAGTCTACGTTATGTCTAAAAGTAGCGGTGATTGTTAATAATTACGCAATTTTTATATTTACTTTGTTTACATAGTCGTTGTCGGTGCAACGATTAATAACTAATGACGATGAAAGAATTTTAAAAGATAGAAAACAAATAGTTTTATACTTACATAGTAAAACAATGGAGAAAGTTGTGCGATCACACAATCAGCCGGTGATAACGATAAAAAATGTACTTGATATTGAAATGTGATGAAAATCAACTTTTAACTGGGGATGTCCGATATTTTTGTGATACCGATTTTGGCATCGATTTCATGGCATTCGATTCGTTAGTGGATTGATACAAATAGAGTGGATAGGATCGAAAGCTACCAATTCGAAACTCGTATGAAATTAATGAATTTTATCTACTAACAATTGTGCTAAGGTTATTTGTGATACACACTAAAGAGCCGTATGTTAGAAAATCTATTTTTTATTCTCATTTTGACTTATTAAATAAAAATGCATATACTTAATCATTGCCTTAATGTCATATAATTTTTTTTATCAAATGCTTTGGATCACCGATAAAGTAGTGGACACCATCTAGTCTTAGTTTTCTCGATATCGTACATCGAAAATCGATATTTTGAACACTTTTGTCTTTTGGTTGGCAACTGTGAGTTTGGGCTTATGTTCTTCATTCTTTTCATTTTCAATTTTCATATCACTTGAAATTGTAAAAGCAAATAAGATAACTTTATCATAATCAGAAACAGATATTAATTCTATATTGTAACTTTTAGTTTGCGGGTTGACAACGTTAGTCTTTTTTTGTTTTATTAGCTTAAATAAAAACAATTGTTTGTGACAGTGTATAATTACATTATTTGTTTTGTATTTGTAGTGCAACTTTATCGTTTTTTTTTTAGAATTTTTTTAAAGCTTTTTAAGGATTGAAGATTTGTTATTGTTGATTTCTATATTTCTTTACAGATACAAGAAACGAAAATGCCTAATTGGAATCTTATAGGATCTCTAATATTTCCTAATGTTGGAGGATGGGTAGGTGCCGCGACTACTATGGTAGGTCAGGTGTCGAACCAGAAGAATAATTCCTGGTACGAAACTATTAAGAAACCAACTTGGACTCCACCGAACTGGGTTTTCGGACCAGCTTGGACGGCTTTATATACAGGAATGGGTTACGCATCTTATATGGTTTATGAAGATTGCGGCGGTTTTAACGGTAATAAATTTTTTATTTATTTTTCGTATGATAAATAAATTGATTTAAACTCTGTACACGCACTTTATCTGTGTGTGATCCTTTAAGCAATGATTTTTGTGTGCCAATTTTTTTAATTTGTTTTTGTTATGTTGGTGATAAGTAAAAACTAAAATTTCAGAAAAAGCTGTACTTCCACTAGCATTGTATGGAGGTCAATTAGTCTTGAATTGGATGTGGACCCCAATATTCTTCAGAATGCATAAAATTGGCTGGGTAATATTCTATTTTATATTGAAAAAAATTATAGAGAATCAAAGAACTAACATGTGTTAGCTAAAACTCTGTTTCATCTGCAGACACAATTAATCAAATACATATTGCTATCCCTGTATTTACAATGTGAATGAGAGATTTGTGAACAGTGGAAACAGAGTTTTAGCTAACAATTGCTTTACCATTTATTCCCACAAGGGGAAGCGATCCTTCACAATTTTTTTTCCTCGAGGTGCTTATTTAATCTGTGTTAATTCTTTCAGGCATTCATTCACATTTTGACTCTGGATATAGCAGCGGCTGCATGTGCTGTCAGTTTCTTTAAAGTAAACTCTAATACTGCATACTTCATGACTCCATATCTTTGCTGGTTAGCATTCGCTACATGTCTGAACCATTCCATCTGGGAGCTTAATAAAGATGACCCAAAAACGGAGTAATGGTTGGTTATTTGAAAGAATTTCTTGCTTAAAAAGTTAAAAACTAAAGAAAATATAGTACACCTAAATTTCAGATGCATTTCTACTTAAAAGTTGTATAGTATAGCACAATATAGCATTCTAATGTTTCCATCATAAATACTAGTAAATTCAGATAGATTTTAAATGCATTTTAATGAGACTATAGTCTTACATTTTGTTGTATTTTTTAAGTATTAAGTTTTAAAAGATTTAAAGTGCCAAAATTGTTATTAATATTTTTGATGTTACAATTAAAGAAAAGGCCATGAATTTTATTATTTAGTTTTAAAATGTTAACACTAATATTAATAAATCAGCGAAATCTAAAAGGCTATGTTATTATACATAAAAAATATTTTTAGTTTTTTTCTTCTAGCAACATTGTTGTAGTACGTTAAAGGTGCTCTATAGTTTAAAACAACATATTATTTGTGATACCATTATATTTACATAATGAATAAAGTTTTATGATCATCATTTCATTCGTTTTAATTTGTTCAATTCACCCTGTTGTATTGATGCATCTTTGTAGATCTGTTTCACCTTTTCTTTGCGGATATTGTCACTAAAATAAAAGAAAAACATAATAAAATAAACTGGCGTTTTATAAAACAGCTTGAAATATATAACAAAATAATTTAAGAACTTTTTGCTACTGTCAAAAATCATACTAAACAAAGAACCATAGGAATTAAAAAAAAAAATTTGTTTATGTCATCTGTGGAATTAAAAAGTTTGTAATTTCATTTTCTTAAAAAAAAAAACAAATTTATTTTTACATATGTCTTTCATCAGGGAAAACTAATAATAAAACTCCTAAACTTTGTGAAGAGCTTGTAAAATATACATAATCTGTGAACATACCTGTGAATCTTCTGTTTTATCTTAACAGAGGCAATGTACGCCTTATCTCTTCTTATCTCTCTCAGAGCTCCCTTCATCTCCTTTTTATATTTACTCTGCAGTCTTGCTTTTTCTGCCTTTTCGCGGGACAACTTAGAACTCTTACTGCCAGTGAAACTGTAAACATAGATTGTTAGTAACAGCGTGAAAATAAAAAAAAATATTATTCTATGACATTAAAGCGCTATAAATAGACTGGCTATAAGACATGGTATTTTGTGCCTTCTTGATTTACGCCATTTTGGCGCTGATGGTAGCGATGGTGTGGATTAGAACTAATACTATAGATAGAATAAACTGTTAGGTAACATCAATAGGCACGCTTAAATTAAGACGAAGCAATAGTTGTCATTTCCAAGGATTTGTGTATACATCTATAAAGTGCGCTTAAAGAAAAAATAGAAATGAAAACTGACTCTGACGATAAAAAGGAATAAAAACTTACACTTCTTGAATGTCGGGTTCATATAATCTTAAGGCCTTAGGTCTAACCTTCTCTCTTGCTAATGGTGTATACGTTTTTACTTCTAAACTTTCTTTCATATGTTGTAACACTTCTGATACAGTACTTCTAACTTTTTTGGGATATAAATCTAAATCCAATCTGCCTAGTAATTTTATATGCGCCTCGAAAATAGCCTCTTGTGCCTCCAAATCGTTGTAATTGTCAAACAACTCTTTCAACATTAATACACAAGTTAATAAACATGTAATCTTGAACGCATCGTCAATGTCAGTTCTTATTAAATCCTTCGCGGACATTTTGGTTTCGAACGCAACTTTAGAACAATCGTCTTCCAAATTCAAAATTTTGACATCTTTGTGCAAACGAAATGGCGGCACTACTTGTATCGGATTTAATACTGAAGTGTTCGCGCTCAAATATAAAATGCCGCGCAGAAAATTTACCGCAGCGGGAACAAATCTTTTAGATAGTGCTGTGTATTCTAAAATTAATGCTGCAACGAAAAAACCTCTAGAAACTGAATATGCATCTTTAAATCTGCAATAAGTTAAAATTTCCGACATAAATATCAAAGATGGCGTCGTAACGGGATGTCGGAAATCCGATGTTGGATATAATAGGGATACGAGTTTGAAAAATATCAACGTATCTAAATCTGGTACTTTCTTTGGATTCTTTTTAAATTTATCATGTTTCTCTTTTAATAAATCGCATATAAATTTCTTCGCTGAAACTTTATTTGTGTGTGCTAAATCATAAAAATGTGGGACAAGTTTATCGAATATAAGAAATGATTTCATAATTTCTCCTTCGTCATTCAAATTTGAGAAAATATCATTGACGTATTGTAACATGTGTGCGTATAATCTACTCAGTAATTCTTTATTATTCTCAGATAAACTTGGATCGTAGCTTTTTATTATTTTTTGTAATGCTGCTGATTGTTGGGAAGGAGATTTTCCTGTCAGCAATTCCTGTAAACAACATTCTTTCGATAAGAACATAAATCCCTTAAACCATTTCTAACTAAAAAAAACCCTCATTTTGTCTTCTTTCTTCCCACCCTTTTCTTATAAGGAAAGTATGGGAAAGGGAACTTATTTGATGGACGAGGTGACTCATAGGAAGGGGAAACATTCTCTTTCTGTGCGTCTTCTCCTCCGTCGATTAAAAGTTGAAAAATCGGTGAATACAGGTGACAGATTGTTCGTTTGCCAACATGTTTTACAAAATATCTAACTTCATGTAAATAATAGAAAGTAAATGTAAACAAATATTATATAAAAACTTACTTTTAGGTTAGTACCTTCCTCAGATTTCAAATCGAAGAACGAATCAATCTTTTGACTGCTCTCTTCTAACATTTCATCATCAGATTCGTCTTCTGATTCTTTCAAATCTCTTAAATCATCGAATTCATCATTTTTATTTGATTCATCATCATCACCAGATTCATCATCACAATTTTCAGATTCTTCTTCTTTACTGACACCATTTACTTTAAGTTTATTTAATTCGTTGTCTTTGTCATTACTCTTTTCATCACTAATTTCTTCATCATCATCATCACTTTCATCAACAGATGCCTCAGAACCTATATTAGCAATTAAATTATTATCTGTAATGCTTTTTTCTTTTTTGTTGTCTTCTTCATTCACTGATTCAACTTTTTCATTTTCGTTAGTACCTTCATCACTTTCACTGCCTTCTTCATTTTCATCATCATCTTCACTACCTTCTTCACCCTCTGATGATGTGTCGGATATTCCATCATTGAACTTAGGCTTTGCATTTGGAACTGTAAAAGATTTAGCATAAATATAGATAAATCTTATTAATATTATAAATGCGAATGTTTATGACTGCATGGATCTTTCTGAAATTCGGTAAAAACAAACATAGTCTGCAAGAACACATGCGCTACATTTTTTAAATCCGCGCGGACGGAGTCGCGGGCAACAGCTAGTCTGTTAATAAAATAATTTAACTAATGATTACAACGACTTTTCAATAATTTAAATTAAATTGTAGATATTTTCTATAAAAACTAGCAATTTCATACTAACCTGTGAAATCTTTCAACACATGTTCAGGCACCAGAGGTTTCCCCTCTTTATCGTAAGCCAACATAAATTCTTTTTCATCCTCCAGTACAAAATTATCATCCAGGTCGTCTGCTGACCTGGTAAGATACAAAATAAGAAAAAACAAAATTAAAATAAAACCTGGCATAGGGGCGCCACTATCGCCTTTTAAATTGCAACACTGTCTACCTATCAAACTAATTTTATTAAAAAAAACTAGGATATCTCTTTACCTGTGTTTAAGAGCTGTTGGATTAGTTTTAGGTGCATTTGCTTCTTCTTCTGGTAACATTCTCTGTTCCCTCTGCCTCTCTAACTCTTCCAACTTCTTTCTTTCTTCTGCTTCTTGCTTTTCTGTACTTTTCAGTCCATCTGATGGCTGTAAACAATTGATTATATAACACATAAATCCTTAAATAAAATTAAATCAAACTTCTTTTGACGCAATTTTGATTCACTGCAAATTTCTATACAAAACATCGGCATAAAATATATTTCCTTATATTGTTAGCAAGTAACTTATTTTAGACATTTTAAATTAGTATTGGCGCGATTGGCGCGTTTTCGTTACCAAGTCAAGTGTCAAATTGATTAGTGAGGGGACATAAGCTTTGATATTTTAATGAAACTAGTGTTGCGCCGATACACCGGCATAGTGTCGGAATTTCCTAAATGTTAACTCACAGTAATATTGTGATACCAGAGAAATAATTAAGAAAACAAAATTGCCTGCATAAGAGAGAAATAACAATTTTTATTCAGATACATATATGAAATTTTTTTATTATTATAATAACAGTGGGACACACCTGCAAGCAGTACATTTTGAAAAAAAAACTATCAAAATCGGAGGCACCAAGAGCGAAGTTACATGGTAACATACATAAAAAAAGCAGATATATAACCTCCTTTTTAAGTCCATTAAAAATAAAATATTCTTGATAAATACTCACAGTTCCTCTCTTTTCAAACTTAAGTTCTCTCATCATTTTATCATAATCTTGTCCCTTATCTGCTTTACTTAGCAATTTATCAATCAATGATTCTTCAACTCTTGCCTTTTTAAACACAACTGGTTGTAAATCTTTCCATTCACTATCCAACTTCTCCGTTAAATCCAATGTCTGTTCTTTCTCCTTCTGCTTCTCTGCCTTTCTCTTCTTTGATTCCGCAATCAATTGCTCAATTAAATCTTTATGAGATTTAGCACCATCTTGTGCGTCAGTTTTTGATAAAATACCACCACCGAAATGACCATCTGACACAAATTCATCTGCAAAAACAATTCCGTTTAATAAAATTGATTAATAAATTATTATCAAAATATAATGACTACGAAGACTTAGGACATTGAGTTGTCAATTAAAGTTTATTTACCATCTAGACCACCAAATCGTTTTCCTCCTTCTTCGTCTTCATCATCAGATCTTGGGTCGTCAAATTTCTCTATCTGTTCCAGAGTTTGACCTCTACAATATTAAATACAATTTAAAATGTTAATTAACCTATTAATTAATTTTGATTAAATCACACTAATTACTAGTGGTTCTCGATTGATTCTCCATTGGAAGAAAAATATGTTATGATAACAATAACTCAAAATTAGACATTATAAATCTAATTATCTTCTTAATTCTTGTTTGAAGGTATCTCCTGAACAGATTTCGATGAAATTTGGCACACATGTAGAACATAGTCTGGACGAACACATAGAACACTTATTATGTATTTCCACACGAATGGAGTCGCGGGCGACAGCTAGTTTACTATCATCATCATAATCAGCCTAAATTTGTCCAATGCTGGACGTAGGCCTTCCTCATCGATTGCCACAATGCCCAGTCCTGTGTCGCCCACATCCAGTTGACTCCCGCCACCTTGACCAGGTCATTGGTCCATCGTGCGGAAGGCCTACCTATGCTGCGTCGACCCGTCCTCGGCAGCCATGTCCGAAAAGTCTAGGACTTTACTATAATTATGAATAAATAATCAAAATAATTTGCTTAATTAATTTAAAAAGTTACCTGTGTGTCAATATCTCATCATCAGCTAAATTGTATATATTTTTCTTACTATGCTGCTTTGCTCTCTCCGCAGCAAATCTGGCTATCATTCTGTCTTCAGCTGATAGCTGTGTATTTTTCTCACCGATCCTTCGGTCAATGAACGCATTTGTTTTGTTCATTACTTTCATTTCAACACCAAGAGTATCCTTTCGCTATTTGAGAAGAGTGAAAAAAAAATGAATTTTTACATCTAAGCACTGCCACTTGAATTGTGTGTCATTAAATGTTATGTAAATACTGAAACTATTGTAAAAATGTATCAAAAATTTGAGTCTTATTTTTAGAAATTATTTGCAAATCAAGAATATAAAATTCGGTTAGAAATACCTTTTGAATAGCTTTAGCACGAGAAACACCAGGCAAACCACGGTCATGTTTAGATTTTTTGCCTAATACTTTTAATTTTTCTCTATTAATGTGAACTTCGAATGGATTTAGTTTCTTCTTATTTGCTTCGGTTTTTCTTTTAGCGTGGACTTTGTCAGCCTTACTGGAATTGCGTTTGTTTTTAACTTTGGCCATTTTAAGGATTGACAACTTTCTTAAGAATCTAAGTTAATTAATATTTAGCATATAATGGATTTAATAGGTTATAATACGTCTTAACGTACAACAATCAAAATACACATGGTTTTGACAATCACAAGTTGACATTTTGACTATTATGCGTTTCGTTTCACCTTAAATATCAGCGCAAAACGTTTTTCAAAAACGTTTTTAAAAATGTAACTAAATTTACCCTGCACTTTGATATAGAAAGGGTAGCATGTACTATGATTGTACATTATTACAACTTATTGCATAACGTTATTTTTATCTAAAAAACATAAAAATAAATCATTTTCCACGATCAATAAACGACGGAATGTTTACAATTTCAACCGACTTTAGTTGATTGTTTTGGCGCCGAATACGCCCGAACGCTCGTTCGTCAATAGTCGGTGGGACGCCGTGTAGCATCTAGCGCGTAGGTATATTATTGTGTGGCTGCCTTTGAAGTGTTGCTGGCGGAATCTACTTACTTCAAGAAAAATGGCAGACATTACTGAGGAAGAACTTGAAAAAGAAATCGAGAGTAAGAAAACTTTATTCTAATTAACATTTTGCACAAAACTGACGTAAAATTAAGATTAATTTGAGGATTTTTGCTAGAAGGCGCTTGAGCTATATCTCACTGGGAGTCGTATAAAATGGCTTCCCTCTGTTTCTAAGCAAACTTAATTTTCGTCTCTTGGAATTGAAATATCTCTGATAGTATTATGATTTTACAAGAATGTTTCAAGTGAAAGTTCTTTTATAATATTGTGCGGACCTATTTTGATAGTAGCCTTCATTTTTAGTATCCTAATTATGTCTGACTACTGGTGGTTTATTTTTATGCGACGCGAAGTTATACAATACTCCACGTATATAGCGGGGCGATGGCGGCATTTCATGAAATAATTTTGATGTAAAACAGAGCGCATAAAGTATTAGAAAAGATTTTATTTGATACATATTCCATTAAATGGATAAATAAATGCAATATAAGAGTTTATTCATGAAATATAGAGGTTTTGTCATTTAGGTGAGGCCGCCATGTTGCGTTCGGAAACTTATCATTGCGCGCTAATTTTTATCACTACTGAGAAAGTCTTTCTAATAACCTTACGTTATTTCGTTTGTAAAGCAATGTTCTGCAGTTTTTTTGCATCTAATGAAATATTAATTAAACTATATAATTAATATTGAAAAAAAATAGTTATTATTTATAATTTTTTAGAAATATTGAAAAATGCAAACCTTGCTACAACATCCACTAAGAAAGTCATTCAGAAGCTTGAGAAAAGCTTTGGCACAGATCTATCTGATAAGAAAAAGATCATTGATCAACTGGTGATGGACTATGTGAACAACAAGGGTTCTGAATCCGAGAATGATGAAGATGATGATGATGAAGAAGAGGTCAGTATATTGCTATCAACATTGACAAGTCTTTTAACACATTAAATGCTACAATTCACATTCCAATGTGTTCTTTAAGGACATGGTAGCACTGACCGTCTTAACTTTTTTAGTCTTCACTTTAATCTTCAAAATCTTATTTTAATGCTAAGATATTATCACTGGCAGTGCATTCCAATATTTTGGAAATTCCTAGCTTGTCGTTTTAGTTAATTCTAGATTTTTAAAGCTAAGATTTAGTCATTTTTAGGGTTTACCTATTTGTGAATCTATAGTCCATGGTTTATGTAAATTGTAGGAAGAAGAAAAGAAACCGGTGAAGAGAGCTGCACCGGCCTCTAAGGCTTCTTCAAAGAAGTCCCGTAAGGACACCAGTGAGGAGGAAGATGAAGAAGAAGACGAGAAGGGATCTGATGAAAGTGAATCTGAGGTACACATCAATTTTTTTACAAATTAGTACAATAATTTTATACATTTAACATCTTTTATATTGATAAACGACTAATACTAATAACTTACTTTTCTTTCACAAATTTGTAGGAAGAGAAGAAGAAGCCAGCTGCCAAGAAGGGTAAGAAGAAGAAGGGTTCAGATGGAGATTCCGACAGCGACTGGGGAAAGAAGAAGGAAAAAGCTCCTAAAGCTAAAAAGGTAAGGGATTATATTAATTATACATAAATTGGAAATAATAAAATTACAGGATGGGAAGGAAAGTGGATAAAGGAGGGGATATGTTCTTTTTCTGTGTGCCTCCTTATCCATCAATTACAGGTTGGCAATGCAATTGTCTATGGCCAGTGGTTACTTTGTTATTTCAGCAAATTCAGATGAACGCATCCTAATTTGCGATCTTTTAACTTTTTTTGTTATAATATATAATAGCGGCAGTGCATAGATGTATGAATGTAGAAGCGAGAGTGTTAAGACTGAGCCAAATGGTAGTCCGTGGTCTCTGTCTACTCCTCCAGGTTGTGGGTGTGATTATGTAATGTTAAATGTAATTTCCCAGGCGGGTGGCAGAGGAAAAGGTGGTGGTTACACTCGGGCGTACAAACTGTCCCCAGCTTTAGCCGAACTCATGGGCAAAGATGAAATGCCAAGACATGAAGTTGTCAAACGCGTTTGGGCTATTGTCAAAGAACGCAAACTCTACGATCCTAACAACAAACAGTTTGCCATTTGTGATGATGCTATGTACAAGGTATTTGGTACTAAACGTTTCCGTATCTTTGGTATGATGAAGCATCTTAAAACACATTTCTGCGATTAAATGGTAAGATGTTCAATAATTAAAATAATTGACCTCTATCTGACTTGAAATTTGAATTTAAATCTTAGGCGATGAGAGCCAGAGAGGCTTAATTTCTTTAATAATAATTAAGTTATACACACTTAGGTCAAAGTGCTACCAAAGTTATTAAATTTCTAGGCTAAGATGGTAATTTTAATGCTGTCTAGGAAAAAAAATGTTGAACTAAACTTCTAAGCCTGTATGGTGATGTTTTACCATTTCGAGCAAGTCTCTTAATTAAAATCGCTTACAATACATTTCCACTGAGGGGCTCGGAGCATACCCTAAGTTAATGCCTAAGTCATAGCGAATGCTGGACAAGTACGGGTTGACTTCACACATATCTTTCAAACTTCTCAGATATGTGCAACATCATGTTCCCTTATCGGAAAAACATATAGGTTTATTTCGGGATGCATACCCAGGACCCGCAGACAAGTGAAGTGCTTGAACCTGAGCCACAGATGCTCTTAACTTAAAACCAGTGTTGATAAAATAACAGGTCACTCTGTCTCTCATTGCCTCAATTATTATTTTGATGTTTTGTTTATTGTTCGTTAGAATTTTTTTAAGCAAGTATTTGGTACTTGCTCATCACATATCTAACAATAGATACATTTTTATTTTATAATTTAAGTTAAGGATTAATTTGAAACTAATCTCAGTAAATATTAAAACTAAAAATTGTGTCGTGGTAAATGTAAATCAGTCAAGTAAAATAAAGCATTTTTTAACACATTCAATGCCACTGAATCGACAGGCGAGTTAAAATACATGGGATTAAAGACATAAATGCCAGAAGTTTCTTAAAAAAAAGGAATCATCAAAATCAATTCACCAGGAGTGAAGTTTTAAAATAAAAAAGTACAGACAAATTCTTAGTGGCATATAGTGTGTTAAACTGCTGTCTTTAACTTTTAGTTTTAATAAAATTTGCTGAGATAACTTTAATGGATGGGTTTTTTTCCCGTTGGGCCGATCGAAGCAATGAGTCCATCGGTCCAACGGGAAACATTAAAATGGAGAGTTTCAATTTAATCGCTACAAATAACCTTAATAAGGGTAATGACAAATTATTGCATTTAAAAGTTAAAATATAGTTCGGTAGTTTGACCTTTTAGATCTCCTTTCTTCTAATACTATCAAGTCTATATTTTCAGACATTTATCAATAATTACATAATTTTAGAATTTAAGCAAAAACAAACTTTAAAAATACATAGAATAATCCTTGCATTTAAATAATATGAAATGGCAACTATTCATTTAATGTGACAAAGTTTGCAACATATAAAATTTCATTAAAAATAAATTCACCTTAATATCTTGTTTGCACTATTCCAATACAGTAAGACAGTTGCACCGACCTCGTCAGTTTTGTCTTACTGCCGTCAGAGTATACGTTATGCCAGTTGAATGCTATCATTTTGAGTGTTACGTTCTTACTATACTGGCATTATTGCTGCGTTATACTTTATCTAATAAAGTTTATGTTTAAAAAGTTGAAATAAAAAAAAAGATCCAAAAACACCTTAAAATGGCGGGACAAATAGCAAAATGATATGAAAAGTACATTTAAAGCATTATTTTTATCTCTTTGTAATTTTGTTATTATGTACATGTCGTTCGAGCAACGCTATATTTTGTAATGCTGTTTCAAATCTCTACGACATTTGTTTATAAAATTTAAATTGGCATTTGAAACAGCATATAGATGTTGTAATTTGAATATAATTGTAACTTTACCGAGTAACTTGGTATACGCGTGTAATTCCACTGCCGAAACATGTTTTGGCAGTGGAAACCCACAGTAATGTTTATTGGAATTGTATCCTGTACACAAGCCCGTAAGAGCTGGATGTGTAAAAATAATATTATCTATGTGTATTTGTCTTTTATTTAACACTAGACCCTTTTTCCACTAACCAGATCAGAACAGGCGCAAATATTTTTAGGACTATGTAAAAATGAGTATTTACGCGACTCCGTCCGCAGGAAAATATGAAAACTTAATTAGTAGCCTATGTTATCTTTCAGACTATCTTCTACATCTATGCCGAATTTCAGAGAGATTCATACAGCCGTTTTAGAGATATCCATACATTCGTATTTATAACAAGCTGTCGCCTGAAACACCGTCCGCGCTGAATTAAAAAAAAATGTAAAGCCTATGTGTTCTTCCAGACTATATTCTACATCTGTGTCAAATTTCGTCGAGATCCGTTGAGACGTTCCGGAGATACCTTCAAACATCCATCCATCTAAACATTCGCATTTACAATATTAGTAAGATATCCAAGTGCTCACATAGGAAATCAAAAAGTGTATTGATGTTTGTCTTTGTTCGATTCAATTTTCCGATAAACCGCACTATTGACCGGTTTTCAAATGATCGGCAACACTATTTACGTCAAACTGACTAGACAACTGTAGGGTAACTATGGCAACATTGACATAATTTAAAACAATTGCGGGAGTATTGACATTTTTTATTTTGTATTTTTAGTCTATTTATTATTTTAACAAATCATGGCTTGCAACGAAAATATAATAAAGAATATTGCTAATGAAGTCACCAGAAACTGTCAGGCTAACGGTGTGTTGGTGGAAGAAGATTTTGTAACATATCTCATAGAATTATTACTTCTTAATCCAAAGTATGGTAAACTATTCGCTAAAACCATCAAGAGAGACAATTTAGAGTATTTTGTTAACGAATGCGTCGCTATGTTGACGAGTAAGTTATATAACATTTAATAATTTTATCTTTATTCCCCAGTGGAAGTACGTTATAAATGTCTTTTTATTACCATAAAAAAGTTCTTATACTGTCGACTTTATTTTGTTAGACATAGTATAGAGAGAACATGATATCTTTGTCGTTACCAGGGTTTTTACCACAAAAGGTGTCATAAATGCCATACAGACGTTTAGATTGTGTTTTTGAAGCCGAAGTACCAGTTGTCCTTTTCAAGCACAAAGTCAAATATTTGGTGGTGGTAACATTACATTTACGATTACAGAAGCCGACACAGCAATCCTAACTCTAAAGATGCAGTACAACATGCTAACTAACTATGATAAACTCCAAACTCTAATAGACACACACTTGGAGTCCATAGACAAGTGCCTAAGGCCGCTCGTACATGAGATAATGGAAGAAGACCCTGGCCCTGAAGGAGGGCCGGAGGATGCTGATTATAAGAAGTTGTTTAGAAAGATATCCATCTATATCATATTAGCTAGCGGTCTCGGCAATCCTAGCGGTATTATTGTTAGTATCCACATGTTATGGCAACATTTTAACCGAAAAATGACAGAAGAAAGTCTTTAAAAAAAGAAAGTTTTTTCCCACATAAGCCGGAATCGTAGCAACACAGCTCGGCAGTCAGAGCGAGACAGACGTATAGGAATACAATACGTTTGTATCGCTCTTCAACAACTGCCGAGCTTTGATCGTATGATTCTGGATTTTGTCTAAATGAACCTTTATAGTCAGGTCCATTCTAACACCATGGAGGGCGCCAGACTGATTTTTGGGCGCCTAATGTAATTTAGACAACCCTGCGTAAGTAAAAGTGTTTGTATGAAGAGTAAAGCGTAGGTCTAATTTTATCCCTCTTCATATCAATGAAAAGAGGGATATTTGACAGGGGAATAATATTAATCTATTAGCTTATAACTACAATTCTGATGAGCTTTTTCAATTCGCAGACTTTAAAAGAAGGTTTAGCGGCATTAGAAAGCGTATTTTCTATCGAGGATCTGAAAGTGTTTGTCGCCCTCCCCGGTTTTGAGAAGATGAATCAGCTGAACGACATAGTTCAGATCGTATCTGGAGTTAGGTTGTTTAATAGAGATTGTAAGAAAGGAGGCGATGGGATACCAGACTGTAAGTATTTACAATTTTTTACATTTACTGCGCTTATGGTACTTTTTCAGTAAGAACGGTTCATTAATACAGGGGCCTATAACGAAAATTGCGAGAAAGTATTACTAGAGATAACGATTAAATTTATAATATGATATTAGCCCAAAGTACACGAACTTAAAATTTTTGCAATACTAATTTTTTCGATATTACGAAAACATTTCGCAAATCTTCTGTTAGGTTCCCTGATGTTAAATGGATAAAAAAAATCGTTAATTTTCAATCTTGTTTCATCAGTTATTTAATGATTTCTTAAGCAACCGCTGAGTGATGGATTAATACAGATTTCTAAGGGGAATTACATAAATTTAAGTGCGATAGAAATCGTTTAAAACACATTTTGTAAGTATTTTCATTGGTACATTTGAGTTTGTTTCCAACAGTGCCCTTCAATCTGTTAGAAGCTGGCAACGCGTGTGTTTCCTCACTATCCAACTCGTTGATAACAATAATGCAGAAAGTTAACACTCTGACCACCGCCATACAGGACAGTGTGGATATACAGGATGAGACAGGCAACGTATACATTGTTGCAACACCTGAGTTTACTGTGTAAGTTTGCTTTTAAAGTACGATGAAGAAAAACAACTTTATATTTATATTGTGACTTAGTCTATGAGAAAATTGAAATGAAGTGGCTTAGTAGACTATTTGCTATTTCAAACTGTAGTCTATGTTGCAAGTTTCAAAAATACGCCACCGTTTTGAAGTTAACCAACAAAGATCCTTACTAAGTATTCTATCCGAGCACGCCCTACTAACTCTCTGCCAACGCATAGTCTTGGAGTTATGTTCTATGGCCATTATATAAGGGTGCACACCTGATAAGAGGTTCATAGATACGTGTCAACCAACTCGCACTTGGCCAGTGTGGTTGACTGTGGCCTAATCACCCTTAACTTAGGGTAGGCTCTGAGCCAGTGGGGACGTATAGTGAGGTTTTTTTTATAACATAAGGTGACAAACGAGCGAGCGGCCACGTGAAATCGTTGAAATAGCGAAGTGACCGTTGCCCATAGACCTACGCAATTGCATATACGCGGAATTGCTTCCAATTCACGCCTGTCTTCTGTGTGGTCGTAGTATTTCACCGGGCGAGCCGGGACAATTCGTGTGAAAATGTTAAAGCGGGCTCTACCACTGTTAAAAGCTGATGATGATGAAAGGGTTCTACGTGTTTTGATTTATTTAACTTTCAGCGAGGATTACAACCAAGTATATTCTCTGTTGGCTTTCTACCGTCAATACGAAGTTTATACTCGCAAGTTGCTGACAGACGTTCAGGTGCTAGTACAAAGTGCGACACAGTGCGTGGAGCGAGTTCGCAAAGTACTGGCGGAATTGCATTCTTGTGTGAAATATAAAGCCGCTGTACCTGTTGATACTGTATATGTGAGTGTTATGTTTACTGAGGAAATGTATAAAGACACTAATTGTCGCCCGCGACGCCATCCGCGCGGAATTAAAAAAATAATTAGTAACCTTGAGACCTGCAGCGCCCTTTTGTGGGCGCTGCAGGTCTCAAGTTGCGGGTAATAGTAAAAGTTTCGTTTAGAATTCTCCGTTAATATATGTACATATATACGTCATAATAATTAATTAATTTAATTTGAATTTATAGTGGTTTTTAAATATGTGAAAATATGGGGCGCCAAAAAATTATTTATTCTCAAAGTGGACAGTAGACAAAATAAGTTTGGGAACCACTGATCTAGTAGACTATGTTTATCTATACCAAATTTCAGCGAGGTCCATGCAGCCGTTCTGGAGACACCTTCCAACATACATCCATCTAAACATTCGCATTTATAATATCAGTACGATATTGTGCTTTCTTTTCTGTACAATTATTACTATACTAGATGCCGACCGCGACTCTGTTGGCGCGAAATAAAAAAAAACTTATTTACTAGCCTATGTGTGTTAGACTATGTTCTAAATCCAAATTTCATCAAGATCCGTTGAGCTGTTCCGGAAATACCTTCCTATAAACATCCATCTAAACATTTGTAGCTTTATTACTAAAATCAATGTTTTTTGTGTCTATGGAAACCATCGGAACTGTAAATCGGAAATGTATTCTTTACAGCCATTATTTAAAAAACTATGGCAAGTGTGGCGAGATATGCAAAACATAATGTATTTGGTATCAACTGTTAACCGTTTGAATACCGCACTCGGTGCGACACATGATCTCATCAAAATGCCAAGTTTGTTAGAGAGAATGTTGATCGGCAAAAAAGTGTTGAGTGACCAGGAGCGCATGACTAACTTGAAGGTGGAAGAGAAACTGTCTCTTGGTTCTTTGAAGAATTACGTCACATGTAGCAGTTATAATGTCAGGGATAAAGATGTACAAGTAAGTTTATTAACCGTATGTTTCTGAGACCAAAATTACTGTGTAAAATTATTGACAACACAAAGGTTCTAATATGTTTTAAGCGGAGATTTTGGTCTCTGAAACTCACGGTTAGTCGTTCTTTAATTTTACTTCCAGTTTGTCCTCAAGTACAGTTAAAATGCTATAAAATTTTGAAAGTAATAAATTTGCCATCGTGGACTAAATAAAAAGTTTAATTACGTCTATGACAACATAAATATTACGTAATTACTT